TATTCTCAGTATGTTTCAACCGGTGACATGAGAAAGACAGCTAGAGTTCATCACTCTGGTCCTTGAGTACATCTTATTCAAAATGAAATGTTCTGTCTGTGTGTTTAGCTTAGTTTTTGATTTATAGACGAATGTTGCAATGGACCCTTTTCATAAGACTTTGATGATGCGTTTCAACGGTCATCAGCAGTGTTGGGGGTAACGCATTACAAGTAACGCGAGTTACGTAATCAGATTACTTTTTTTTAAAGTAACTAGTAAAGTAAAGCATTACTTTCTTTAATTTACAAGAACATATCTGAGTTACTTTTTCAAATAAGTAACGCCAGTTACTTTGTTTTCCCATTTATTGACAGACAAGTCTCCTGTCCCCATATTGGGAGAAATCGGAAGTGTAGAGGAATTGTGTGCGCTGTGTGAACATGATGTTACTGTAGTTCTAGACTAAATGTGAATATGCATTAATTCATCCCACTCACAAAAAACAGATTTGCTATTCATCAAAATGAATTAAAACAGTGAAATGCAAACTCAGAATATGACGCAAACCTGCAATAATTAAATATGTTAAATAACACAAATGTATCTAATCCCATTTTATTAACCAATGTCTTTGCTGCTGACCTTTGATGATCCAGTTCAACCATACTAATAAGCAAACATGACTTTAGAGAAACTAACAATTGTGCTTCATTGTTTTTTTATTGCTGAAGAGTGTTTCTTCTCCTGCGTTCTACTGTACAGACGTGAATTTACATTTGCTTCAGCCTGAGGTTTATTCATTACACTTTTTGGCTTTTACATTTGCTATAAATAGAACTTCTTATATTAAAAACAATCAAGCCCTGCTCATATTTAAAAAGTAACGCAAAAGTAATGTAACGCATTACTTTCCATAAAAAGTAACTAAGTAATGTAATTAGTTACTTTTTTAGGAAGTAACGCAATATTGTAATGCATTACTTTTAAAAGTAACTTTCCCCAACACTGTATATATATATATACATACACATAATGAATATTATGGTAAAATGCATATACATTTTTTTTTTTTTTAAAAAGGGGGGATTGTCTGAGTACCACATCTTCATAAGCATGGAAAACTTCCTCACAGTGACCTAAGAACTGCAGGTATTATACAGCCCCTGATATCCCTTCAAAGGAAGGTAAACAGACCTTCATAAGAATGGACATATGGGCGTTTCATCACAAATGAAGTCCTTCGCATGTGTGCACAAGCGGTTTGTGTGTGCATAGGCTTTTGGCAGCTTAAGTTAATCACAACAAATCATATTTACTACAAAGCGAATAATCCTCCAAATTACACCATACTGTCTACAGTGAAGTGATGTTTCTCATGGCTTTCCCAGCAGGGGCTGTGTCAGTGCATGTCTCGCGATTTCTTTTTAAGTGCCAGATCCAGACAGTCTAGTTCTGGAAGTCTTAAAACTATGAGAGAAGTCAGGAGACTGACCTTAGATCAGCAGAAAACATTTTTTTGCCAGGCTGATTAATGAGATTGGACAGCAAAGATGGCCGATTCGGCTTTACGTTGAGTAATCCAAAAATTCTGTATCATATTTTTCCAGAGGGCACCTGTGCAATTCTGCAGCAGTAATGTCTTATTGAACTCATTAGTTGAGCAGAGACATGTCAGTTGGAACAAAGCCATAATGTCGTCGCTCTTAGTGTTATTATCTGGTGTATCTGGGTCTACACATACACAAATAAGTATTGTTTAACTGCTTTAATCCCTGGAGAACTGCTCTGTTTATTTGATTAAATCCGTCCTGTTTTTGCTAAATGTTTCCAGCTAAACTATTTTAGAGTCATTTTTAAAGCACTGCAATCACAACAGAGTCATTTACCAAGTGCTAAATTTATAACCTTAATTAATTAATCCTAATATGACTAAAATTACCTCCAGCAAAGTGCTATTTATTTCAGAGGCTGCATTGAAGCACACTGTAAAAAGTGAACAAAGGCAATTCTTACTGTACCATAGGGGGTCAAGAGTGATATATTTTTTTAAATGTTAAATATCTTCTCCTGCTTTATGAAAAGTGAATATATTTGAATGTACTAAATTACAAATTTATCATTAAAAATGTGTAATTACAAATATATATTTTAATACGCCAGTACACTTTAACCATATTTCAAAGACGACCGAGGTAATTATGAAATTACATATAAAGTCCTACTTAAGTGGGTCAAAGAAGCACACAAGTTCAGCTAATTGCTTTTAATAAAAATGTAAACTATAATACATTTTCATTTAATTGCAAATAACATGCAATTAAGTGTTCAAAAACATTACGTTCATTTCGCACCTAAGTATATTCTTTTAAACTCTATTATTTCTGTAACAAGTATACTCTTTTTTTAAAAGCTAAAGTGTACTTCTTTTTCACAAAGTTGGTGACACTAGTGGCGCAGAAATTACTTTAACCCAAAAATGAAAATTCGGTCATCATTTACTCACCCTCATGTCGTTCCAAACCTGTATGTGTTGCTTTCTTATGTTGAACATAAAAGAAGATATTTTGAAGATTGCTGGTAATCAAACAGTTGGTGGTTGCCATTGACTTCCATAGTAGGAAAAAAAATACTATGGAAGTCAATGGCAACCACCAACTGTTTGATTACCAGCAATCTTCAAAATATCTTCTTTCATTTTTGGGTGAACTATCCCTTTAAAATGACTTGCTGTCAGGTTTATTAAATAATATTTTGAATTCAAATAAATTCAGTTCATTTAGATGTTACCACGTGAAGCACAGGGCATGTGAGGTTTGTAGTTATAGTTTCTGAAATCAGAGACTGTTTTATAAGAGCATCACAATACAGACGTCTCAAACTGCACAGGGCTGGAAAAAATAAGTCACATAAGATCTTCAGGTGGACTTTCAGAGTCTAATGGAGGAAGAGTAGTTGTCAATCACACTCTCTCTTGGGAATAAAAGGATGTGTGCGTGTGCCGCTTCTGCAATCATTCTGCCTACAGAAATAGGTCCTGATGTTCACTAGCCATCTCAAGTGCCTGAATGCATGCACACATAAACATGTCTATACAGATCATTCTGTACACCTCACGAGCTTCTAAATAAAACACTCCCAAATGGCACTTTCCAGAATAAGGGACAAAATAGGGTCTGAAACTCTTACCCCTGGTTTCACAGACAAGGCTTAAGCCTAGTCCTAGACTAAAATGTAAATCGGAGCGGTTTCATCTGAAAGAAACTTGCACCGACTGATCTTAAAACATGTCAGTGCCTTTGTTTTGTCTTAAGATGCACACCAGTAATGCTTTTTTCTAAGGCATGTTTATAAAAATGACTTAAATGTCCTAATTGAACTATGGCCTAATCCTGGTTTGGGCTAAGCCCTGTTTATGAAACCGGGCCTTAAAATTCAAGTCATATTTTTTTTTCCCTTTTTCAGCAAATGAAGAGGGAAAGAAGGTGCTTAACCTTCAGAAATATCAACCTCAGGAGGTCAGACTGAATATTACACGAGTGGCTTTATTCTATGAGAGAATACATTTTCATGTCCGCGGGTTGATGCGACCCCAATAACGTGATATTTAGCCCCTAAAATGTGAATTTTACCAGGGGAACCCTGCCAAAAAACGTGTATTTTATCCCCTGGAACACAATTTTTTTTATTTTTTCTACATTTTCTAAATTCTAAATTTTCTACACACAATTGGTAACAGGGTTGGAGATTTAGCCAAGTTATAAATAAGTAGGGACTAACTAGTTTGGGACAAAATGTTGGTTTATAGTTCACAGATAAATTTAATTCATTTGTTTTAACCTTGCAAAATTTGAATACACTTTGAACTTTTAATGTGTTTTTAAAATAACCTGTTTTCAAGTCATATCAATCTTATGTTAGATAGCAATTTATGTAACATATAACATCTAACTACTACTAAAAATGTGATTTGTGCATCTAATGCTTTTAAAAAGTAATTGGCAAATATTCTCAAATAATCCCGGTTTTCCTATTCTTCATCCACACGCCCATCTAGCCTCCAAAATTCATTGTACAGTAATTCAACCACAATTACACTTTGCACACCATTGACCTAGTTGGCTCATGTCATTCCTACAACGGCTCTAAACCATTTGGCAATAATTGCTTTTGGGATGGCAGCACAGGGCCTAGATGTTCCATTAAACAGGAGCAGGTCCTGGACCCGAACTCACCTACACTGGTGATCTTCTGGGAGACCAGGTCCTTCAGCAGGGCACCGATGACGGGGTTGTGTCTGGAGTAGAGCTCGTATCGGTTAATCCCGATGTGGAAGCGGAGCCAGTTGGGATATGACTCACCAGTGGCCTCCCCTGCCGGACTGTCCTCTTCCTCCTCCACGTTCCCCTCGTTATGCCTGCCGATAAAGGATGGTGGAGGACATTAGTCACTACCAACCAAGCGACAACCTTCCAGTCTCTCTCGTGAAACCAACACGGAAGTGACTAAAACTGTAATTCATCAACTGGCCGCTAGAGGCTGGCTCCAAAAGGGAGTCAGTCCCATAGACTCCCCATGTTAAAATGCCCAAATTTACAGCAGAAAAAAATTTGTTTACAGCCTGGTACAAAAAGTGGTTTTGGTCTATATAGCTAATTTTGCCCTTCATGACAACTGTGAGAATTTTTTTATAACTCATCCGTTTAAATTATATTAAGCCTTAAAGTTCTGCATAATTAAGGGCGTGACCACTTGAGTGACAGCTGGATTGCCGCTGCTGTCACCACTGTCGAGCTATGTGGGCGTGGTTTCAGCAACCTGCTCCCGCTTCTTTGCCCATTTTCGATTATCCGGGAGTGATGCGCTGCCAAGATGGCGACAGCCGGCTCCGCCCACTTTGAGCTTCAAAAACGCTCTTCGGAAACCTACGGGTGACGTCACGGACACTACATCCATGTTTTTATACAGTCTATGCTACCAACACACATGCTGCCTGACAACAGGAAACCTCAAACTTTGACGAAATCTTGATACATTTATATTTAATCTACTTTAATATAATACTATACAGTTGTAAGTTAGACAAACTAGCAGGACATTGATTAATTTCTGTATTATTACTAGGCCCAGGTCGATTCTGTACACATTTTCCACTGATTTGTGGGGGAATCTGTGCAATGGATTTAAACATGATAAAACAAAACTGAAATGACTAAATTTTCATTTGTAGCTGAAAGCACAATCAAAGAAGCCAAAATTACCCTTTTTAAACAGAAGTACACTTTTAGTATATTACGGAAATAATATACTTTAAAATAAAGTGTGAACTGAGTGTAATGTTTTTAGACACTTAACTGCAAGTTACTTACAATTACATGAAAATGTATTATAGTCGAAATCTCTTATTAAATGCAATTGGTCGAACTTAAGAAAATTCACCTAAGTCTTTCTAGTTAATTTCAAAATGATTTCTATTGTAAATAGATCTGCAGTGTACTAATGAATGTACCACGCGCATTCATAGTAAACTAAAATACACTTTAATGTCATTTCTATTGAAACTCGTCATGTATTTAAATATAATTGTAATTACAGCTATAATGATGAAGCTGCAGTTTAGTAAATTTAAATATCAAACACATACTAGTTAAAATTATAATCAAGTACTTTACATGTGCTTTATCATGTTAGCAATTTAAATAAATATACTTCATTATACAAGACAAAAGATTATTAAAACAATGATTTAAAATGCACTTTAAAGTAAAACTTTTAATTTGACATTATTACAAAGTGCACTTTTTTAAAACTGTGTTAAAATCAGCACTCTCTTTTTAAATACACTTAAGTAACCTTTTCTTTCAATACTATAATTTAATTAATATGCTTCAAAATTCAGCTCCGTTTGAGTTAAAATTACGCTACATTTATCTAAAGAGCAGTATTTTATTTCATGTATTTAAATTTTTACATTTTATTTATTTAAATTGTATTCAACTAGACGCAATGAATTCCATTACTGAATTCAATCATGTAGTACAGCTTGAGGACAGTTCAAAACATTTAAATGAAGGTGAGCATGTTTGAATGTGTCAGAAAATACTGTGGTGACCGTGGACTGACTGAATGCATCAGCTGTACTTCATTCCCCTGAGACCCCTGACCTGAACACACAAGCATGAGTTCAGTCTATTAAAACATTGTGTCCCATCAAAACATGAAAAGGAATATTAAACAGTAATCTGACAGCATCTGGATGACAAGCTTGTCACATGCATTTTCAGTGATCAACAAAACACTGTTAAAAAGGCCTTTTAACTCAATTACTCATGTTTAGCTCATCTGGATCTTGATCCGGATCAGAGGCATGGTTAAAAGGCATGTTTAGTTCATTCAGGCATGGTTAAAGGCAGTGAGAATAAGCTATCCCTGGAGCACGGGTGAAGAACAAAAAGAAAGGACAAGGGAGCAAACAAAGGGCATGACACCAACAAAACCCCCCTCAGCTTAATGCATCTGACAGCTCTGAAGAAAACAACACATCACACCAGAGGAACATAGACGAGTCCTAGCAGCAAAGCTTTTAACACTCACGATGAGTCAAAAGCACCCAAGCCACAGTATCATGTCTTTCCAAAGCACATGCCCTCTTATTTTTACCTCTAGATTTAAAAATACGTGTACTTCTCTCCTAAATGATTGCTTTTAATCTCTATTTCCATTGAGAATCTGACTTTATTATGATTATTACTGACTCAGAATGAGACGATTATGACCCCTGTGAAGTGAAACATTTTTTTCTTAGCTCTGTTTCTAGTTTGTGCAGTCCTTAATTTCCCTGGTACTTTGGGATAAACACATTTTCATCAGTCTTCTGTATAGGCACACACTGTAGGTTCTTGACTATACAAAACTATACCGGGGCATGTTGTCACAAATATGATATACTATCTAAAGTGAAAAAAAGTAATTCTCCACAGGATAGAGTATTTAACTTACTTCTCAGCTAAATTTAAACAGGAAACCACAAAATACAAAACAATTCATGAAACGGTACAAACTGTCCCAATTATCTTAATATGACATTTGTGTTTAAAACCAACATACAAAACCCACTGCGAGAGAAAACTCATATTTTGTTTAATTGGATTTGTATAAATCTCATAGTTGTGACAACAACTAGAACCAGTCTCCATTCATATTTTAATTATGCAAATAACTGGGATATAAAAAAAAATAATTTCACTTGCATAACAATATTTATTTATGGCTTTTAAAGTAGCACTTTCAATTCTTCTTTCCCTGCTGCTTTGGCATAAAATATGAGCAATCACCTTCAATGCTTTTCTTTATCTTTATATCTCTTTGGAACAAGTTGTCACATTATTATTATTTTTTTTTTAAAGTTGGGAATGTTTCTCAGCACAGGTTTATTTTTTTTCAAACTTACTGTGTTATACTGTAGACTTTGTCAACAAACAAAACCTTGTGAACCATTCAGCAAGGCATGCTGTCACACTAGGCTATATGTGGTTGTCACAATGGAACCTGCAGTTTACTGACACTGATTTTAGAAAAGCATCTTTGTTTGAAATATGAAATCTTCTCCAAAGGAGCCTAATATAAGTCATGTTCAACATCACCCGATAGCACCCGGTCCTTTTTAATTACGCACATAACCGGGACTCCAAAGCTAATTTTTAAACATACAAACAGGTTTAAATAAGCACTTGCCATTCTTGTTGCCCGGCAGCTTTGGGGTAGAATCTGACATCACTGTTGAGGTTGAACAAGCTGTCATCTTCAGAGAGATGAGGCAGGTCGGGCTTATAGAGGGGATGCTCATAGAGCGCCTTCAGTCTGGAGGAACCCTGGACAGCTCTCTGCTTCTGTCCGCTCGCTGTATCTCTCATCAAACCTCTCTCCTCCGAGCCCAGCTGCAGCTGTCTCACTCTCTTTTCAGACTCGGCTCTCTCCGTCACCTTCTCCAGTGAGTGCGAAGTGAGGTTGGAGTTGGGTTCATTGCTGAAATCCTGCAGTAATCTCAAAGAGTGTTTATTAGGCCAGCCCGGTTCGGCGGCGGCGGCGGCGGCTCTGGGGCGCTGTTTGGCCCATGATCGAGGCTCCTCGCCCGGTGTGTGAGCGCAGGAGCAGCCGCCTCCACCTCCAGCGCTGGAGCTCGAGCCCGCCGCGCGCTTCTCCAGCTTGGGTAACAGGTCTATCATGATGTGCATGGTGCAGGCGACGAGAAACACCATTAAAATCAACACGCGAAATTTACGGAAGAGGATCATAATTCTACCTAAAGCACTTGCCACAATATGACACAGGCTATAATAAAGAGACTCAGGGGCGCATGTGGTGTCCAACTGTAATCCTCGCTATGATGGGAGATCCATGTTCACAGCAGGATGCAGAAGAAGATTTTCGCACCTATGTTTCCAGATGTATCAAGGAAGATTTCTTTTCGGCATAGTTGCGTGTTTTATTTTCAGGTGAGGTGCAGATGTCCTGTCGCATCCTTACAGGTTCGTGATAAAGCGCATGTCCTGGTAAATAATGACAAAACAGTCCCGTGTGTGGATATCTTCAGTATGTGAAGAGGGAGATAAAGTGCATTAGTTCTTCACGAGGAGCAGTCAGTGACAGGTGTAGATGTATCAGTGCCCTGAGGGTTAAATATTGGGATCCTGCCTCTCCTCGTCAGCGCATTCAGATTGGCTGAGTGCATGAGACTCAAGGAAGAGCGACTCAAAGATACTCGGCTTGGAATGTCAGTGCAGTTCCCTCATGTGAAGACAGGGGGCGCATGCGCATTAGACCGACGTTATTAGTGATAGGTGGCGGTGACACTATTCTCATTAAAGCAAAACTATTATATACATCAGTAGATACTATATGCATTTTGAAAAACAATAAAATGAAAATCATGTCATTTATTCACCTTATCTGAAAAACAACAACAACGACACAAGGGTGAGTCAATAATGTTTGTTAATGATATTCAATGAAAGGTTTCAGTGTCTGGTGTTATGGGTTTGATCTGTCATTGCCTGAGCTTTCAAGCTCAGCATTTAAATTTTTAAGGCCAACTAGCCTACTGTATTGCGATATGCAAGAGCTCTCCATAAACGCTGAGACTTCTGGTTGGGCAATTAGGATTCAAATCAGTTTATAGACAATTTGAATATAATTTCCCAAACTGATAGTTGAACAGATTTGGAAAGATTAGCCTCATAAGAAGAGGATGGAAAACCAAAGCAATTGTCAGTATGGTGCCGAAATGTAAACATTTTCATCAGAATAATGGCAGGATTTTATCACCGCCATAACAGTACGCTACACTACTTGATTAAGAGTTATGAAATTGATATGGTGGTCTGCCATGGTTTATGTCTGGGGCATGTATTTTGATGAGAAAGCATTTATCTTCTTTGCTTTGTCTTAAGGATTATTATGACTCAAAGCAAGCAGATGAAAAATGATGTCTCAAAATTAATTAAAGTTTAACATAGAGCCCTGGGGGCTCTCAGCAGCGGCAATCCACCTGTCACTCAAGTGGCCACGCCCTTAATTATGCAGAACTTTAAGGCTTAATATAATTTAAACGGATGAGTTATAAAAAAATTCACCCCCCTCACAGCTGTCATGAAGGGCAAAATTAGCTATATAGACCAAAAAATAAATTGTTTATTTTTATTAAATCTGATTTAAATGTTAAATTTAGAAAAAAAATCTATGCAATTATGCCAGAAACAATAGGTGACTGTTCTTGAACCTCACCTTTTGAGCTCCAGGAAGTGTTTGCAAATATGTGAGTTAAAATCAAGAAAGTAATTTTACTCGAACTCATTATGGAATTTTCTGTTTGAATTACTGTATCGAAGTCTGCATACCTCTGCTAATATCAAAACAAATGTGACCCTGGACCACAAAACCAGTCATAAGGGTCAATTTTTCGAAGTTGAGATTTGCTATTGCTACAAATATACCCCAGCGACTTAAGACTGCTTTTGTGCTCCAGGGTCACAAATATGTTCGGTGTGCACACGTAGAACTCAGTGTTATATGTTATAAGTCCTGCTATACGTGTATATGTGTTATACCCCTCCTTTTTTCCTTTATCTGTGCTGCAGGATCTAGCAGCTGTTGCTAAAATGATCCCTAATATTTCCTAGATCTGCTGTTGAAGTTGTACTTCTGCTGAAGTATTGGCTGGAATAACAGCCAAAATAGTTTTGCAGAAAAACACGTGTGGGTGTTTCTTCAACTACTTTATAAAAACTAACAGTTTGTTATTAAGGTCACATTAAAACGAAAAAAAAAAAAATGCATTTTTACATAATGTAGGGGAGAAATTATTATGGTTTCAGAAAATACTCTTGTAAACAGAACACCATCTCTAAACTGTAATAATATCATATACAGTTCTCAGAGGGAAAATATGAAAAGACTCACAGATTACATAAGGAGTGCTGTGTGTAAGTGTTATAGTTTTGTATATATTCTCGGTTGACATAACGGTCATACCAGTGCAGTCTGAGCTCATCTTGGAGGATAAAACTCCTAAATTTCCTATATATAGAACACTTTTATGAATACAGCATGAGAGTAAAATAAATCAGGGTTATTTGTAGGCCAGGACCCCTTTGTTCAACTGCTAAATGTCTTTAAATGAACGTTTCCATATTTTGCACTATCCTCCTTAATGTAAGCCAATTTCAGCTCCTTTTCAAGATATAACAAAGGATCTGGAGCAGTAAAGATGTTATCCTTTCTGCTTCTATCCTTTGCGTTTATGCCCATCTGACGTGATCCGGGAAATCTGAGAGCTCGTAAGAACACGCCATTGTGTTTATTATGAATCAGACAGTAGAGTGCTTCATTAATAGCTGGCCAAATGGAATGTAACAAAAGGAGAGCACCTTTTGTCCTTCTCATCTTTTGACATCATCTCCTCATCATAACCGGCATATTAAACACGTTTACCATGTAGACCGGCTTGTGATATTGTCCATGTTGTGAAGCTTTCAGTTGGTGAGTCACAAGCCAAAATTGGGCCAGAGGTCCGTTCTGTTTAGACAGAAGGAAAACAACAACAAAAACAATGCTTCATGTAAATAATAAAATGCAACTAATCATATTAATATCATTAGGATAGAAAAGGAATAGTTCATCCAAAAATGAAAATAGACTGGAAATGTACTTTTTGTAGTTTTTGAAGTTTGTTTCTTCATCTGAACAGATTTGGAGAAATGTAGCATTACGTCACTTGCTGAACAACGACTGGAAATGTACTTTTTGTAGTTTTTGAAGTTTGTTTCTTCATCTGAACAGATTTGGAGAAATGTAGCATTGCGTCACTTGCTGACCAATGGATCCTCTGCAGTGAATGGGTGCCGTCAGACTTAGAGTCTTAACAGCTGATGTAAGCATCACAATAACTTTGATTGTTTTTAACCTCAAACCATCGCATCCAACTAAAAATAATGCATAAAATTGCTTTTTCGTGTGAAAGTTTAGTGAAAGTCATCTTGTCTGAATCAGGAGAGAAATATGCACAGATCAAGCAATGTTTACAAGTTAAAACAGTTTCTAAACAAATATGTCATTTGCATTTTGATGTGAGACAACATCAGGGACTTTTTCACAGGAGGAGTGATTATTATGGATTATGAACTTAAAATTGAAAAGGTAAATTAAATTAAACTTAAATGTTAAAAGACACAGCTTTTTACGTTACAAGATGTGGATTAATGTGATGTTTTTATCAGCTAGTTGGACTCTCACTCTGACGGCACCCATTCACTGCAGAGCATCCATTGGTGAGCAAGTGAAAACTCAATACTTTCAGGACACTTTTTTATTCATTTATTTTTTTATGATAAACAATTTTAGTACTTTTTCAAAGTTAAACCTGGGTCCTGAAGCGCAATAACATGATAAACACTGCTTAAAAGCACAAAGCTGCTACCTTCTTTGTGACTGAGCTGGGGAAAAAAATGATGAAATTAATTCCAGTGTCTCGCAACAGTTTGAAGGCAAACAAAATGTCAGCATTTCACAACTCTGCCTCAAATTGATTAACATTCCTTTTTGTCAAGATTATTCATGGCAGTGCATTTTTCAGTGCAGGCTAAAATACAGTGTTGACAAACAAAGGGTCAGCATTTCACAACTCTGCCTCAAATTGATTAACATTCCTTTTTGTCAAGATTATTCATGGCAGCGCATTTTTCAGTGCAGGCTAAAATACAGTGTTGAGGGGGTGTACCGGCCTAAATAAAGCATTGTAATCATCCTAGCTGTTGCAACAAGATTTCATTACCTCTCAAACAGGTCTGTGAAAAACGCAAACACACGCATTTCCTTGAAGCCTCCGACAAGGAACATGAACGTTTTTTGTAAACCCGGAATGCTGATGAGCCAGTCGGATGAGCTTGTTGGCAGAATTGACCATTTTTATTTGATATAAGCTCATGGATATCTTTTATATTCTGGGTTTGGATAGCAGAATCTGGTTCCTGTGATGCCCAAAAGAGCAATGTAAAGTCATCTGTCACTACATTCGTGACATAAAGTAGTATTAAAAGAGGTACAACGTCATTCATTTAGATTCATATACCAGTTTTATGGGAGCAAAAGGGGTTTCTACAACTTAAAATCCTGCGAGGAAAATAAAACAGGTTTTCTGACGAGATAACTAGAAAATGTGAGTAGCGCTTGCCTAAGCAAACAAGCCACCGCCACTATGCTGGAGTGCTGTGGGTGGTTGTCAGAATGCTGTAGTAATGTGGTTTCTTAGCTTGTTAGCGTGGTTTCTAGCATGTCGCTATGTTAGGATTGCTAGAATGTTCCGTGTGGTTGCTAGGGCAGAGCTACAAGATTGATAAGAAGATCTGAGTGGCTTTAGCGTATTACTAGCATGATTTAGATGGCTGCTTGTGCAAGTGGATGCTAAGGTATTCTTGGTAGTTTCTTACCGGCAAAAGTAAAAAAAAGGGCCTTTTCCATGTGTTTATGATATTCTCTTCTCTTGATATGGCTAGAATCCCCTCTTCAGTGTAAGGTACGGTCACAAAATGGTCACTGTAGGAATCTACGCGATCTGCGATATTTGCCTTAAGCCTGGAATACACTACAGGAGTTTTGCCCAGATTTTTGCCCCAATTTACAGTTTGGATGAGTCAATGCTATTTGCCAAAAACCAGCCCTTATGTAACAAAAATATATGGGAATATACTTAAAAATATAATGCGATATATTACATTTTTGAGCTTATGCTACTGTAAACTAGCTTTATTTTAAAGTGCCCCTATTATGGGCAATGAAAGGTTCATATTCTGGTTTTGGGAGTCCCCAACAACAGGATGACATGCATGCAAGGTCAAAAAACACTTTAATTGTCTTATAATATGCATTTATTTTTACCTTACTTGCTCAACGTCTCCCAAACGATTCGCTCAATGATTCATTTTTCCAAACCCCTCCTTTGCGTGATGCTAATCTGCGGTGATTGGTCCGATTGGCGATTGGTCGATTTCAGTTTCATTTCATCATGCCTGTAATGCCTGATAAAGCAGCGTTTGTGAGCGCAGTGCTGCTTTGTGCACAGCCGTTACCGGGGAAACAACCATTTTTACCGCTCCAAAAGCTGCACCAAGTGGCAAAGAATGAATTTGCATTTTCATTCAAACAAAGTCACACTGCATGAAAGGTAATTTTCAAAAATCCATAATAGGGGCACTCTAAAATATGAAACACGTATATTGTGAATGATTGTTAATCATAAGAAATATATATTTCCATGTGTGTATATACTGCATATTCAATATA